CCACAGTATGCAACTAATATATCAGCTTCCAGTTTTATTTTTGTACTCTAAGGCCTGATTTTTAGGCCAATTAAATTTTCAGCCTCGTTTCCGATGTCCGCCGATTTTAGGACATGCGCAGATCTCGAGTCCAGTTAAGGCTTTAACCTAGCTTGGATCCATATCGACAAATTGTTTGTTACATGTTTAGAAGTAATTGTGCAAAGTTTCATGCTTTTATCACAAAAGTGCAACAACTTCAGGCTATTACTTGGACGATAGCAGCTGTACTCATCGACTTGCCTGAGAAATCGGAAAAGTTGGACGCAGCGATGAGGCGCCAACGTTGACTTGAACGACTGCGTCCAGTTAAGGCGAATTAGCCGAGCTCAGATATTTGCGAGAAGGCACATTGGGAACTGTTTGGTGATGAGTAGACTGACTCGGACCATACTCCTCATCACATCCATCTGAATGGTGCTTTTTGGGTGGTGTGCGAGAAGGGAGAAAGGACTGTATGAAGCCGTTTCCAGATCTGGTTGTAGCTTCTTTGACCAATCATCCTCTCAACTTGAGTCACTGCCGATAAGAAAACTAGAATAGGAACAACTCCGCAAAGTTCTTGCGCAACAATCGTAACTTTACCATAAGCAGCAAAATAGCTCAACTTATTGGTTGGGCAGAGGAATGGATATTAATTTCTTCATGGACGAATTCGCAATGAGAGGCGGTTACAAGCACTTCAATAATTGCATAAAATGCAATATATATAAGATCAAGCGTAGAAATCTATAAATTTAAACGTTTGCTATAAAAACAAAACAAAACAAAAACGAAGAATGGACAAAGCTGTTCATATTTAACCAACCATGCCCACTACTTGAATTCTGTTAAAATAATTTTTGCATCATTTATTACAATTACTTGGTTTACTTGACATCTTTTTTACCTGTTTGCCTTGGCGATGATTTATATAGTTAGTTTGGAAGATGGCTTTGGGAAGTACAACTTTCCTGGAAACATGACACAAATACATTATAAAAAATATTTTATGTTGATATGCTTTCCTGAACCAGTAATAAATATGCGACACATACACTTCTGCATGTCAAAATCACCACTGAAACAACTACGCTTAACTCGAGTTAGCATAAATCTCTTACTCAGTTGCCTATCAGCGCCCCCTATATGCCTATTGTTTTTGCCGGTTCCCCATTACGTTGACTAATTGGCTCATTTGTCTTTCGCCGTGCACAGCATCCGGCAATCTTTCCTGGTCGCCGTGAAACCATGTCGGCGCCGTGCCGTGTCAGTGGCGACTGCACCATGAGATATTTATAGATTAGAATTTTGCCAGAACGGGTGAACGGTGCATAATTTGCCGTGCTGTGCAGTGTGTGTGGAGCTTTAGATGGTAAATAGCAAAAATTCTTAACATTTTCCTTAAAACAGCTGACAGAAGTATTTAAACATTGACTAAGCAATTGCAAAGTCATTCGCTCACAGAAAATTTGTGCGATGAAACAAAAAATGACTGCGTAGGGGTGAAGGGGCCCCTGGCAGGGGAGCCCTACGTATAAGTTAACAAAATGACGACTTACGCGTATGTTGTCATTTTCGTACTTCAGCACAAATATGCTGGTCCCAAGTGTCGACTTATGCGAGTTTTACTGTATGTCAACAAAAGGCCTAGTGTCAGCCATCGAATGTAAAAAAAAAATAGAAAAATTTTGAATAAAAGCTTGACCGTATCCTTAAGGATATACTGTTAGGGTTACGGACGGGTAACAACATAACTGCTCATCAAATTTAATCAAACTCATATCCATTACATAAGAGAGATGTCTCTCTATGCTTTCGATGAAAAATTCATCGCTAATTAAGTGATGGCAAAAATTGGATTGGATTTGGAACTGTTTGGGAGGCGACATACATAATTTCTACATATACATAGCTGCCAATCGGTGCAATCTATCAAATAAAGTGGGTATTAAAATTTCGACCGAAAATCACCTCCCAACCCTAACAGTATTCTTAACCCTTTGCCTACAATAATAATCTTAGCAATCGATCTAACACAGAATAACAAACAAGTTACTTTCTTCCTCCACCTCCACTGAGGTCAGGCGCATACTTAAGGCAGGAACAGACGGCGACCGCAACATCAGTCTCTATTCCTGCAAAGTTCTTCAACACACTTGCTGCAAAATAAAAAAAGAACAATTGCAATGAGAAAACTAAATTTTGGCAGGTTTAATTTCAAAAACATTTTTATGCCATTGCCACCAACATACAGAGTTACAAAACAATAAGATAATGGAGAGCTATTAAAAAGGATAATTTAGCTATATTTAGGTGTATTAATTGCAGTACACAATAAGCCAGAAAAGTATCAAAACCATTCACCAAAAGTATACCTTTTATAATTCTGAACAACACACTCTTCTCGAACCCAAGTTTCCCTCGGTGGCCCTTGAGGTTCATTTGAGCCATGACCTCGTTTGTCATAACTCTGTTACAAATAAATAAAGCTTTGTTTGAACATAGAACATAGGAAGAAACTAATTACGTGAATTATATACACTACATGTTTACGTGTTCTAGGGCTAATCCAGAAATATTTGTATTGATGGTTGCACTTATCTGTCACCATGTCAAAGGTATATGTTTTGCCATGTATAAACGTTAACTACATATTAGTAGGGAGCAACTCATAAATGACTTATACGCTACTTATATGTCACGTACAAGCCAGTGATATGTATAAAATAGGTAGGTCGTAGCTAGCCCGTTCACTGCGCTCGTGTGCTCGTGGGCTGTTCACTGATTTGGAAAAGAATTTCTTATCATTTGGATGTACTTATATCCATGATTTATTATTTGAACGAAATCCATTTGCATTTCTAGATTTTGGCTGCCATATTTTTAATGTTTAATTTAATTCTACCAAGCGATTCCTGCGTGCATGGTTACTTACAGGTTTAAGATTAGCTATATCAAGAATTCGTCTCGAAGAATTGTCATGGAAGGTATATATGCCTAACATTATAACGGAGACAACAACAGATGTTTTAACCATAACGAGACTACATAGGAAAATGCTGTATAGTCAATGTTTCTCGATGCATCAGACAATATGTTCTATCACATCTAGTGCTCCACTACAGTGTTCAAAATAAGGGAAAAATTTGCTTGTCCGACGGACAAGCTACAAGATATTATTGCTTGTCCTGCAAAATTTTTGCTTGTTCTAATGAATAACATAGAAATATAGTAAATGCGTAATACATTTAATCAAGCTAAATTTTAGACCCAATATCTTACTTTGTAATTTTAATACAGTTCACTAACAGTTAAAATTAGGCACCAAACTTGAAAAAAACATAAAGAAGCACATGCAATTATTTATTTTAAGTTATTACTAATTGTCTTAACAAACTTGAAGCGATGGTAGAAAATAATAAAATATTGCTGTAAAAAGTTGCTCTAAAAAGCTGCTTGTCCAACGGACAAGCTACTGGACCGGTTTACTTGTCCTTCGTGGAAATGGACAAGTAAAGACAAACGTATAACCCTTATTTCGAACACTGCACTATACCAGTAAGTTTATATGTAGAGGATCTATTTAGGAAAAACTATATATAGGTTCAAAATGAAGTGCTTTAATAATGACCTGTTCATAATCTGCCGGACGTTGTCCTTCAGATTTACACCGCCGATCTTTGTCAGTTGGGAAATCTGCAAGACAAATATGAGGACAAAAATTGCAACCTTAGATGAAATAAAGTAAAAAGAACAAGAGCACATACGCAGTGTAAGAGCACATATTTCTTTTATGGTGCTGTAAAATACGTAATCTTATAATATGGTTTATAATTTGATGCCAAATTTGCCAAGTACTATAATTTAATAATTATTCATTCCTGACCAATGCATTCATGAAGGAGCATGAATTGCGACCCAACTTATTTTGTGGTTGATTTTAAAACAAAGCAATAAAAATAAATTTGGGCTGCTTAACTTCAATGAGCACCAAAAGTTCAACTATCGAATTTATCGATCAAAGGTGACAACGACAGAACAATGAATATTTCTAAAATAGGCTACAACAGAGGGCTATCCTTAATATGTAGAGTCCTGCTTTAAATAGAGCTCACCATCTTCTGCATATGTTCTTGCTCCTCCAACAATTGTTCAAGTTCTTTTAGAGCACCGATTGTTTTAACCTGTTCGATATGGAAGTCCGAGTCGGCAGGCTTGTACTTCCTGCCAATGTTGTTGAGCGTAGTTCTGATCTGAACCAGAAGCTGAAGAACTCGCTTTTGAAATCCTGAATAGGAATGATATAATTAATGTATTAATATTAATCCATACTCAATATTCACCTTGATTTATCATTGGCGGGCCGCCGCCGTTACATGCACGAGTATGCTTACGTGCTATCCATACACACAGCCACGCACACACTTTCAACAAGCCGGACTGCAAACTGTACAAACATCAGATCGCGAATTAGACAACATCATGTACAATCTCCTCGATCTGTACAATAGCGGACTGGCTGACATTGTACCGCACACTCACCTCAAACTTCCACACAATGACAATATACAATATTTCACGCCATCAAAATAGGACACTCAATCAAATGTACACCGCTACAAAATATCCATGTCTATGTGTTTATATGGCTATATTCTTCATGCCTTTTATTAGGCATTAGAATAGTAAAAGTTGTATTATTTTCGGTCACCAGCACGTGCTTACATTGAAAATACTCCCACGTCCTCTCTAGACAATCACCCTGTACGCTAACGTCGCCGCTAATGGTCCAAATGTGCACCTATTTTCTACAAGTACGCCTCCCACCCCAGCACTTACTGCCTTGAGAAATCGGAAAAGTTGACGAGCGATGAGGCGAACGTTGACTTGACGACTGCCGTCCAGTAAGGCGAATAGGAGAGATATTTGGAGATAGGCTACATTGGGAACTGTTTGGTGATGAGTAGACTGAACTCGACCATGACTCCTCATCACATCCTGAATGGTGCTTTTTGGGTGGTGGCGAGAAGGGAGAAGACTGTTGAAGCCGTTTTCCAGATCTGGTTGTAGCTTCTTTGGACCAATCATCCCTCTCAACTTGAGTCACTGGATAAGAAAACTAGAATAGAAAACACTCGCAAAGTTCTGGCAACAATCGTAACTTTACCATAAGCAAGCAAATAGCTCAACTTATTGTGTGCAGAGGATGGATATTAATTTTCTTCTTGACGAATTCGCATGGTTTTTGAGCACTTCAATAATTGATAAAATGCAATATATATAAATCAAGTGAAATCTATAAATTTAACGTTTGTATAAAAACAAAACAAAACAAAAAACAAGAATGGACAAACTGTTCTATTTAACAACCATGCCACCACTAATTGAATTTGTTAAATAATTTTGCATCATTTACAATTACTTGGTTTACTTGCATCTTTTTTACCTGTTTGCCTTGGCGATGATTTTATAGTAGTTTGGAAGATGGCTTGGGAAGTACAACCTTTCCTGGAACATGACACAAATACATTATAAAAAATATTTTATGTGATATGCTTCCTGACCAGTATAAATAGGACACATACACTTCTGCTTGTCAAAATCACACTGAACAACTTAACGCTTAACTCGAGTTAGCCTAACTCAAGTTAAGGTTCGTCGTGTAGACGTAGCTTACGTTTGAAGCGTATTGTGCAACACTGGCCGTATGTAAAATGAACGCTCGCTCGCTGGTGGCCCGCGAGCGATCGATCGCCCAGGAGCGATCAACGAGAAGAAGCACACACCGTGATTATAATGATTATTGCTTATTTCAAAGTTTTGGATACCAACATTGTTGAAATTACTATCTAAAAAAGGGATAACAGATCTTTTGGGGGGATACCAGATTTCAAATACCTGAATACTGTACGTGTACCGCCAATACTGGTATAGAGAGCTCAGGTTATTGATTTTATAGAGGTTGGACACCAGACAACCACGGAAGGAATTTGTAGTTGCCCGAGAGAAAATCCAGTCGTCACGTACGATTGTTAAAATCAAAATTGAGCCCTGTTAGTGTTAGTGTTAAGTTAAATAATAAATATTCTCCACTTAATTTTTTTGAGTCTGCTATAAGATCGCTATAACAGTAACAGATATGCCACTTCTAAAACGTTCAGACGTCACGACCTCCAAGTAGTGAGAAGCGAAAAGCTAAATTAAGTATAGGTATAACTTAATTAATTCATAATTGTGGCTAGCTGCATATGTGTTTCTCGCACTGTAGTCTGTAGTGTAGGGCCTACTGTACTTTACTTACTCGGTCGAGCATATATGTGTAATTTGTTCGTCCTGGTTGGTGTCGAACATTCAATAACTATATAATAAATCTTAATATTGTTACTATGTGGATATATATAGGTATTTGTCCATAAAATAATCGAAATAGAACTGCTTACCATGCAAACGCAACTTTCCTCCAAGCGTCTGGCGTCTGCACAACGTGCACGTGCACGTGCACAAATTTACCGCCACTTTTCTGGTACCGCGTCCTCTAGCGGCAGCAATCGCATAATTCGCGTATTTTACTCATTTTTATTTTTTACGATTTGATTCCACTTCTCTCGCCGTCTTCGTTATGGTCCCCAGGACTTATAAAGAATAACATTTATGTGGTTGTTAGGTTAATTAACCTACACCAGCGGGATATCATCCTAAACGTTAATAATGTACGTGCAATTATTGAGATAATTATCGTATATATTACATTACCCCGCTCAGCGCTCTATATAATATTAATAGGGATATCATTACAACTAGACCACAACCAATAATAATTAATATCCTACCAAAACTAAAGAAACTCACATCATTTCTCGTATGCAGCTAGCGCACATTATATAAGGAGATTCCGGCGAGGATGGTACGTGATATAGAGGCGCGTCCCATTCCGACCACAGCAAACCAACAGTCTATATATATAGAGAGCCACATTAGAACATTTCTATATTCTCAAGCTTTGGTCAGCGAGTTGATCAGATTTTGCCACTCAGCAACTCCGATAATAGCATTCAGGGGTGTGTCGAGGTGTCCAGAACATTAATATTGCGGGTCAAATGTTTAAACGGTTAACTTATTATCTCGTCATTTTTCCATAGTGTAAACCCAGCTTAATGCGACAGACAGCAAACGATTTAAAACCGCCCCTTTAGCTAATTACCTATTGAACTAACAATTAGCAGGCATGCAGTATGTGAATTAACTTATCGGTATAAGGACGGTGAATAAATTCGCGCCTGGCATAGCACGTCGTGTACCCGCTGAGAGAAGCGCGCGCAAATGACTATATATATACACTGGACTCAGTGCTACAATGTAAGAAGAAGTACGTGTTTTTATAGTTCTCCTCACTGCTTTGCTAATTAGAAAAAAGGAAAAAAATTAAGATATATAAGCACACGTGCTGACGCGCGTGTGCGCGTTTCTTTGTCTCACTGTGCGAGGGAGTCCTGGATTCTGGGTGTTAGCGCGTACCGTTAGAGACCTACATTAGTTGTAAAATATATTCTTTTAGTGAACACAAAATTTATACTTCGTCTTTGATTATTCTACTCTACACTATAAATTATTTCATTTAAAACTCTTTGGTGTAACTTCAACGGTTGCTGCTATAGACTGAATTGAGACCGGCAAGGGAACATCACGGGTGCTTTAATCCCCCAACGACAGCGTAACGAACGCAATACAACATGCAGTTGTGTTTATGTTGTTCGATGTCGCGACCAAAATCCAATATTGTATTAACGTCTTATTGCGACGGTGAATGGACGTAGTTAAAAAAACGTTGAATAGACGTTGTGTTTACGTTGTTCGATGTCGCGACCAAAATCCAATATTGTATCAACGTCTTATTGCGACGTTGAATCTACGTAGTTAAAAAGACGTTGAATAGACGTTGTGTTTACGTTATTCGATATCGCGACCAAACCTCAACGTTGAATCAACGTCTTATTGCGACGTTGAATCTACGTAGTTAAAAAGACGTTGAATAGACGTTGTGTTTACGTTGGCAACGTCGCGACAAAAATCCAATGTTGAATCAACGTCTTATTGCGACGTTGAATCGACGTATGTAAAACAACGTTGAATCGACGTAGGTGAAACAACGTTGAATAGACGTTGTTTTTACGTTGGCGACGTCACGACCAAAATCCAACGTTGAAACAACGTCGTGTGCCCGCTGGGTATGTAACGTGCGCAATATAAATCAATAAATATTATTATTATTATTATAAGGGTCACCTGGTGTGATCGTGGTAGTTGTAAGATGGCGGAATAAGAAGTGTACGAATAAACTATGTGTGTTATCTTTCACTCTGAGTTATGTTTATACTGGCGTGTTACACAGGGGAAATCATGCCCGGCGTGAGCGGACAGTACGCAATGGTGGCAGCACTATGTTAGGATTAGGGTTAGGATCAGGGTGTAGGGTAGGGTTAGGGTCGGTGTAGGGTTAGCGTAGGGTAGGGTAGGGTATAAGGCCATGTCTAGTACGGAAGTAAGAGCTGTGTGAATCTTCTGTGGAAAGATTGTGACTTTGAAGTTTACGCTCACTGTAATGCACGTGACTGTCCCCTCCACGCCCGGGGATAGCACACCCGTTACACGACGCTCGGCCAGCGCTCGCAAAAATGGAACAAAGCGTGTGATTGGCTAATAAATTCTTATGGCACTGCATTCTTAACTAGAGAGATGCACCAGTTGATTGGACATATTTGTGGCATGGCAAATGATATTTTTCGATGGTTTTTATGCTGTTTTTTTAGCTTACTGTGCAATTTTGTGATTGCGAGTTATCAATATCACATTAAATATATTTATAACATTTCACCTACTTATAAGACTAGAATGTGCGAGGGGGTGTCACAAAAGTAACGAATTTTGCCGCCTCGCCTCCGGCAGTCTACATTTCCCAGCTGCTACTAGCACTCTCTCTGCCGGTCGCGGTTTTGGTTCTATTTTGTTTTTTTTTCGCGATTCGCCCCCCCCCCCCCCCCCCCCCCCCCCCCGCAGCCCACCAGTTTGTCGCTTCATAGGTATGGCGTCCTCCTGGCAGTCGCGCTGCTGCGTGGTACTGTAACTAAGATTTTTTAGATGTATACTCTATTCTTGATAATTACAATGCATACATTATCGTATAACAGGCATAATAAACAAATGAGCTAAACAATTATCGAGGATGAAAAGTGGGCACAAAAGCGTGTGCACACACTTATTCCATTGTGGTCCAACATAACATTGTAATACTGGTATGGCTAGGGTCGCCGCTATAGAGAATTATGTGCGTGTGAATGCACAATTGTTTGTTCGGGAATCATTTCTTGCTCCGGTGGCAAAGCGGGACTGTTGTTGCGTGCACAGGAGGTGCAAAACATGAGACAAATAATACTCACGCATATATACTTAATTTATGGACGCGGTATTTTATTGCAGTATACACCTACAGTATAACGGTATTCGTATCTGGTAGTACTCTCGACCGCGTTAGGAATGGCTCTGACTGTGTTGACGTCAACTATTGTAGGTTGAACTATAATTATTTTATGGACGAAGGACGTGGAACAGTTACGTGAATAAATATAGGTGCTTCGGTGCGAACCGAAACCCGACGTAATCTATGTAGATTGTCGGAGTGAGATAAGACGTAACGGCACCTGCTGTCGGGTTTTCTCTGCCTCCTCTTGGCGCGGCCGTTCTCGTTCGCTCTTCGTATTCTTTGTCATGCGCGCCCTTCTTTTTTTCGCCTCGTCTTCTTTCTTCTATCCGTCCACTCACACTACCAACAAACACAGCCTCCTTCCTTTCTACTCTTTTGCTTCTTTTTCCTCCTCTCCTTCTTGCTAGTTGTTTCCTCTCTGCTATCTTCGTTCTTGCTGTCTTTCCTCTTCTTTCTTTCTCTCTTACTTTTTTCCCCTTCTGCTCTTCTTCTTTCTTCTTTCTCTTCTCTCTCTCTATCTTCTTCTTCTCTCTCTCTTCTTTCTTCGTCGTTCTCTTTATTCTTTAATTTCTTTTCTTCTTTCTTTGCTCTTCTCTCTTCTTTTATCTCCTAATCGGTCTTCTTCCTTCTATTATTTTATTCCTTCTTCTCTCTTCGTCATGTCTTCTTCTTACCACCTTTCCTGCTCTCTTCTCTCTCTTCTCCCTCTCTTTTCCCTCGTTGTCTGCCTCCGTTGAAGTTGATCGTGTTCGTAGGCCGTGTTGGTAGTGAGCCGTGTCCTGTAATGAATTCGTGTCTGTATGATCCGTGTCTTTATATAAGGTCGTGTCTTTAATCTCGTGTCTTTGATGCTTCTGTCTTTAATGCTCCGGCCCTCTTTAATGCTCCGTGTCTTAATGCTCGTGTTTTTAACTGCTCAACTGGTCTTTACTGCTGCGCGTGTACTTTACTGCTCACGTGGTCTTTGGTGCTCCTAGTGGGCTGCTGCTGCGGTCGATTCTCCTACTTTTCGAGCTGCTTCATATTACCGTGCATGTTGCTACTGGGTGTACGATCCACCTTTTTTTCTAGCAACATACAGGGGGTGTTCCCAGCTGGCACAGCTTTACGTAGCCAGTTATAACCGGGTGTACTATTTGCCTCGATGCGGCGAGTGGTTTTATATTACGCTCTTATTTTAACTTCTACTGAAACTAGCCGAGTCTTTTCCATTTGTCTTCATTCTAATACTGGTTCTATTTATTTCTTTTATTCTTTTAACCTGTACTTTACTACTGTAGGCATTTCCTTTATTTGATTTGTATATGTGATTTCTTAAGTGTGAATTTTGTGTGTAACCTTGTGTTCGATACAGGTTTTCGCGTTATTACCAAAAAGCCGCGCCCCTGTCGTGTTGTGGTTTGTAAAATAGATTACTTCGGTGAGAACGAAATCTCTACACTCCGCCCCCTTACTTTCTCTAGCATCCGCCTCGGACTGCGATTACCTTTGATTCCTGCCCTGTAAATTTGCGATTTCAGAGTTGTTGATGAAGATTATAAATCTTTTAATAAAATTTTTTTAAACGTACAACATAACCCGTGTTTTAAATTACGCAGCGAAGGTTATATAGATCCTTTCCCAAAGTTAAAATAAACATTAGACGCTTCAACTGGTATCAGGTTATTCATGAGGGTTTTTAAAGATATAATAAAATATAAACGTTCAACTGTTATGAGGTTAATATGTCTTTTGCAAAAATATATATTATATAAAAATTATAAAACATCAGATTATAATATGCTATGTAAGTGGCCCTGGAACTGGATTTTCCTAGGATGGAGCTGATCAAGGTCCTCTAGAACTTTCGTCCGGAAGATGGCCCCGCCGAACTCGAGGCTCAGTCCTAAATCTGCTGGAGCGTTACTCCAGGGAGATGCTGGGCCCCGATGGCGCGTATCGGCTTCCTTAGTTGTTTAACAGCCTCGCTGGCGGTGACTGGCGATGGCGTCCATTTTCCTTGTCTCTTTTCAGCTCTTCTATCTCCTTATTGTAGCTCCGCCTTTTCTCCTCTTGCGTTCTTCATTACCTTCTCTCTTGGTGAATCCCTCCCCGTTTTCCACCTCTCCTGCCTCCTGCTCCCGCTTCTCGATGGTGCGTACTGCTCGAGGTGCCGTTCTTCTTCCTTCAAATACCGATCATTAAGCTCTTCGCAGTTTTGGCGTAAGCTGGCGAGGCGTTGACTGCTACCGCCCAATGCGGGTGAGTCGTGGCTTTGGGTGGGCCGTCAGAGGCTCCGGGCGACGTCGGCAGTGGCGCTGGCCTCCGGTTTTTTTGCGGTGGGCAAGGGCTTTGAGCAAGTCAGTCAGGGTGTTGGTTGTAGGAGTGGGAGGAAGGGGATCACATGGCGTCCTCTCCCAGGCGAAGGGCGGACCAGCATGGTCAGCGCCGTCCTCGGGAGCTCACTCCT